ACAACCCCCATTAAAACTATTAAATGCGACACATGCATTCCGAAATTATTAAAACTAAAAATACAAAGAGGAATGAAGAAATTCCAGACTCGCCTGATGTTCTGATAGTAATAAAGCTATCAAGCATATAATAAATGTGCCCATCGCGTTTTGTACCTACCTTCGTGCGTTTTTCTTTATTTTACGCATTAACAAACTGTTTCCTAGCTCGTACCAGCGTCTAACACATAATTAACGGTGTCCATTAATCAAAACCAATGACCGGGGCATTGTACATAGTGCTGGGTTTTTATAATACCTCAATTTATCCGAATATGCCCACTCTGATCTTTTGGCGTGCGAGGCTTTGGGTAAATGTCTTAATTTATGCCGGTTGATGAGTGCTGCCATGCTGGGTACACTCGTATCTCAGCTATCATAGAAACATATAGCGCTTGTGTTGCCGTTGCTAACATTTGGCGGCGGGTTTGTGTTGGGAGTCTAATATCCCATTTCGAGAATGGTCGATTATGGGACCATTATACGTAATCTAAATTATCATTTAAAAGTCCCTCGCAACGCCGTACACCTCCGATGGTCGACGAGTTCGCTGGAGGGAGCGACCCGCATGCGATCCCCGCCTTTCGGACCCGGACCCAACATTCTATATGCAATAACTCCTCGTTTCTTGTTGCCACGGTTCGTTCCAAAGTTCGTGGCAATGAGAAGAGGATAGTGTCAGGTAGATAGCGGCGCATTTCGTTTCATTTCGCACTTCATCATGGCCTCTACCTGCGTTGTTCTTGTCGGTGTGATCAACAACAGGAAAGACATGTTTATTGAGGATATTCGTTTGACCTAGGTATTAAAATTCTTTGTTTAGTAAAAATAGATTTCTCTGTTTTTGTATGGTTAATTATTGACCTGAGATTTTTACATTTAAAAAAAAGTGCCGCAGCAAATAAATTGTGTTGTATAGTCTGTAGTTTGGATACCATTCGGGTCATAGAGTGGCGAGCAGTGTTAATCCTGGTATGGAACGAGCCCAGTTCGGATTTTCCGACTAATAAATTCGAAGCTTTATATAAGCTTTTCGCGGTGCCGCACGTCGCGCCATCCCGATGCTTACACATTCATGGCGCGACTATGGAAATCTGTCGTCCGTGCCATGCCCGCCGCCCGGGAGGGTCCTGCATCCCTGGCGGCCCCTCGTTCCATTGGCGGCGGCGTGCATAGATACGTTCCGAAACGAGCGTAACAACACTCTATACATCTCAATATTATTCCACTCGACGACGCGCTCGTGGATTACCCAACATTTGCATATTCTAAATTTGAATATCGGGATTATCTCGCTTGCGCCAAAGCACCCCGGATGCATATCGCCAAGGACGGGGCTTCTAAGCCTAGCTAAAAGAGCGAAAATCTACTGCGGCGACGTCCAATTTCGGCCGTCTTCAACCATTTCTTAGCACACAATCGGAGAAATAAACAACTATAAAAAGTATAAAAGGGAACATAAAACTAGAAGCCCACCGAGATAAATTCAATTTTAATATTAGTTTTTGTTTTTGGTTTATTTCCACGACACTGATAAGAATTTCTAAAATATTTTCTTTTAGATTATTTCTGGTTGCAATTTTGAGGGTCTTTCAAAAACATTCGGTGTGCTGTGTGCAGAAGCAAGTTTCTGGTCCCAATATAAAGCACAAAGCGTTACCGTACACTTCATTTAACAGAGATAACGACCTCCAGTCTGCTTTTGCGTCGTGCGCAGGATGCCCATGATGATGGCCTGATGCCTCTTCAAGCAGGAAAGAAAGAACGTTTGCTTTCACCGTGCACACAGCGCCCGCACGGCATCTACAACTGTTATCATTCAACCATGCACCGTTTACTCCCGGCTTGCCTGCATCACCAGGTTGGGAAACGTCGGAATTGCCACGCACGCCACGACAGGCAGCGCTTTGTTCCACGTTCCATTATTCCGGCGGATAAATTGCTCGGATATCCTTCGAATTTCTTTGTTCTTATTGTTTTAAGTGTTCCTACGGCAAAACTCGAGAAAGGTGTGTCTTTCGGAGCCGGCTAATAGCCATTCGCAATTTCTCTCCTTTCAACTGCCGGCTTTTCATGCGCCGCCGGCGGTATTGTCTTCCATGGTATCATTGATCAAGCTCGCGTTGTATTTTTCAGCATCGGCGTCTTGTGCGTTTTTTGTGCTCATTGCCATTTCGCCATTTCTGCAACTCTGCTCCGGCGAGTTTGTTTCCTTTCGGTGGGCGGCTGGCTGGTTGTATATGCGTGCTGGGGGCAGTTATGCGCGAAGGGTCGTGTATTTGTTCGTTGGGGGGACGATAAAGGGTGATGGACGGATATGTCCGCACATAACCACACATCGACTGGGAAGCGCGCCCGAGTTCGCCTGCCCGCCGGCCCCGTTTTCCCATTTTCCCATTAAAACTGGAAAACGGGCTGCGGCGGCGTCGGCGGCGGCGATCTCGCGCTGCGATGCCAGTGCGGCAAGCATATATACGCGTTGTATATGTATATTGAAACGGTTTATACCCCCCGTCGCGTGTACATCTAGCGCGTTTCCAATTTTGGCCCCCAGGTTTTAACTGCGCCCACATAATACCGACATTCGTAACGTAACCCAAACGTTGGAGCAAATACAGAGTCGTGATAGCACCAGCTATGTTACATCAAATATTAATCATTCAACATGAAATTGTATCAATATTCATTCAATATTAACAATTATTATGTTAATGGTTATTCTATACTCGGTTTGCACAGAATAATATTTGTTTATTTTGTTGTTGTTATTCACGATCAAACACCATGTATGCAGAAAACTGCGAGGTGGATGAAATGAGAATTGTTGCGAATTTGGTACACGCGCCCTGCACGCTGTCCCTTCACACGGCGCGGCGAGGAGATCGACCGGAACGCAGAATATAATCGTACATCGTCGAAGATTGGACGGCGGGATTATCCGTCGACCGGCGGCCATGGCGCGGAAGGAGCGCCGCATTACCCTCCGGGAAGTGCACAGGACCCAATTTGAATTTTAATTTACGAACCGCGCGCTCGACCCCTTTCGCTTGTTGTTAGTGTGATGTTTATATTCCCGAGTGTGCGTGTCCAAAGAAGGATAGAGTGATACCCTAGTAATCAGTCGGATGCTTCGGTGGTGTGACTCAACCCTTCTATATGATAAGGCAAAAACAAACATAGAGGCTGACCAATGGTCAAATGTGACCGATGAGAAATGAGATACTATAAAAGGGTTCAGTTATCAGTTGATTATACGAGGGGGTATGATTTAATCCTTTGACAATTAGATTAACGCTCCATGGAGATGGGAGCATCAAGGAAATTCGTATATTATAATAGCTATGAGAAAAAGCTAGCAAATTTAATTCAAACTCTGTTTTATGGCACGTTTGAGACTAGTTTCAGAATAGAGGGATTTCTATCCATACACAGAACACACCTTACTATAATATTTAATGTGTTTTGTTGTTTGTTGAATTGTGCAAATCTATACCACCAGTAGGTAAAAATGTGTCAACACAATCAATTTTATGATACAACGACACTCATCTAGAGCGTACAGTCCACTTGCTCCACACGGCAGTAGTTATTAATGGTTACGAGCGTTTTTACGATTTTTACGATCAGTAAAAGTCAAGCAAACCCCCGAGACGAGCGCGTTTATTCGCCTTCAATGCTGGAAACGTTTACGCGCGCGTCTGGCGCGGTTTGTTTGTCTCTTTGCGACGGGTGCGACTTGATATTTTGACCGTTGATTCGTTTACTGTTTACTGCCGTGGCGCACGTTCGACACTTGGAAATGCACAAAACCGTGGCCGCACGCCCCAAATCCACTCGCCGACGATCGACAGCTCACAAGCGTATATAAAACCTAACATTTATGACTTGTTTTACGAGCTATCCACACTTGTAAATACTTAATAATCATGCACTATGTGGGACATAAACATCAGTGTCAAACATTCAAAAAGCAACCCCTTGGGGGTGTGAGCATAGCAAACTGATATTCAAATGATGCGCACACATGATTTGTGATTCAATTATATTTATTTGATACTTGCACGCGTATGCATTTTTATTTTAACCAAGTTACGACGCCTGAAGTTTAAATGTAAGTTGCAATTAGATTAAAAGCTTCTGGATGCAATTTGGCAATTGTAATGTGTTTGTGCAAGCGAAAACTGCAGGAAATGGCACGAAACGCAAACAAACGCGTAAATTTCACTTGCATTGTTAGCGGAGAAAAACGCGGCAATTGCGGTAATCCTGCTGGAGCTGCAATTCCGAGATTTACGAATGGAAGAAACCTAGCCAAGATTTTTTAGCGAATGCTTGGCGCAGAAAGAACTGCAAACGGCGACGACAACAGCAATGGAAAGACAAATAAAAAGTAGACTGCCGAAAAGATTGCTTGGAACTCGAAATAAAAATGAGGCGACAGATACAAAAAAGAAAAGACTTGTCCAATGGTTTATGAGTTTGTTTGGGTTTTGTACGTTGTCTTTGCATCAGTTTTAACTGTTGTAGAAACAGATTTGGCACAAAACGTAATCTACAGAAAAAAACTCAAAGATATGTTCATAATTTGTAAACATATTGGTCTGGAATTAATTAAACTTTAAGATTTTTTTTCTGTCGGAGAGCTGGTATAAATAATGCATATATTTGTGTTTTCGTTCAATGTTGATATGGTTGCTGAGGTTTATTTGGGCAGAAATGCGTTTTATCTGGTACCTTTAAATTTTCGCACGCTATTTTAATGGAAAATGGAAAATGCCTTGGCGTGGGCATTAGGTTTTACTGTTATTGTCCGCAATTCTTGCTAAATGCGCAATCTAAAGAAAAATATCGTCAGGAAAAAAACTATAACGATTCAGGAAAACTTTCTCAATCTTCATAATTCTATCAAAATGTAATTACAACGAAAGTACCAAAAACCTAAATGTATTTTCAATTTTCAGGATTCCACTGCATCCATATAATTGCAAACCGGCGAGTTCAAGTTGGACTTCGAAGTTTCATTGTGCACCGGTGTGAATGGCTGCGCGTACCTAATACAATGATAAACGTCCAAGGGGACAGTTCAGATTAAGATATCTCGAGGGGTTCCACGCTGCTCTGCGCCGCCACGCTGCGCCTAACTTGGAAGTTAGAAGTTTCTGCCCATAAATATGGCTTCCAACTAATCTATCTCTCTCTCCACTAGCTAAAAACTCTACACTACCCTTACCTACATCATGATGTATACGCCAAGGCATCTACAGACAAAAACCTTCAAAGAAATAAATTTGGACGAAAGCTGCCTGCATCACACGAGTTAAAAATAAGAAATGTTCAGCCAAAGAAAGGTATGTCGTGTTTCAGGGAGAAAGAAAAGGGATTCATGAGTAAGCGTGCAACCATGAAACCAAACCGGCACCATTAAGTCATCAGAGCGTTCGGCGGTACACAAAAGCGAGGTAAAAATAAATGCAGATAGAATGAAGAAGAGGTCTATAGTCAATATATAAAGTACAGTGAAGCTTTTGGATTGTTACATGAGTTATTAGATTAGTTTCAATCAAACAGGTTTCTTTATACTTTCTTTACTTTTCTTTTGGAGCAAACACATGACTTTAAAAAATTCTATATGCCTACATGTTGTTGTTATTCATTACAAGCGTATTTTCTACCTGCATGTGATATACTATATCAAAAGTTGTCGTAAATATTAGCGGGGTTTCAAGTTGTAACAAATCAAAGTTCATGGGAAAATTTAAAGTGAAATGTTCATTGAATGTCTTACTAAGATACTGGAGAGGGGAATTAAATAAGCATTTTTACTTTGTGAAGCACTCATCTAAACGAATTGATTTTTATGTTTTAATTTTAGGTCCAGCAATGAAGAAACCATGACGAATTGTTAGTACTTGTTGTCCTTAAAATGTACTCAACTGATAATGCTGGATTCTGCTGTGGAATATCATTTTACAACCCCTCAACGTATTCCCAAGAAGTTAATGATGCAGCAGTTGATGAATTCATTCGACTTGTCTCATTAAATTTGCGTTTACACCCATTTGCAGTAGTAAGTATGACTTCACAACTAATGCATTCAATGCATTTGAGTTTCCACGTAATTTATAACGTTTTACACTCGATTTTTTGTTTTGCATAATGTACAGAAAATATTGCCGCAATTCTTTAAACGTATATATTTATTTTTGTTTTAGGACATGTTACATTTCATGATCAGAAGGTTGTGAAAAACAAATTCCACTGTTGTCATTCGAATCAAGATCTCGATATGAATGTAATATTTTTGTGGATATTTGAGAGGGTTGGTGGAATCGTTAAGCACGCTGGAAGAACAATAAGTCGTCGATAGCAGTGGCAGCAGCAGCATCTTGGGGGATTTTGCAGCTCTGTGGAATGCATGGCCATAATGGGAATTTCACGGAAAATAAGACGAAGAATGGAAACGCTTTTGCTGGCAGTTGCCGGCCCCGCGTCGGAGGAAGCGATGGGAGCACAGGATGGATGTCGTCGGCGGATGCGGCGGCCGCCTCTCGAGCGTGCGCCGATTGGCCGTGCAGAGCGCGTCGCCCTAGCAACGGTGGCGAGAAGGTGGAGGCCGCACGGCATACCCGTCTTGATTCATCGGCACCTTGAGACGCCGCTTTAATGTTGCCTTTATTCAAATTAATCGCGTTTTTCCTCAGCGCCATCGCGCGAGCCTTCTTTCCCATGCGCCGCGTTATTTCGGCAATAACTCACCGCCGGGGATTTCATATTAGTATTGGTATCGCAGCTGCAACTTGCACCCAGGGCACTCACGACCGGAATAAAATTGAAAATTCAACTTTCAATATAAATTCAAATTCTACACCTTAGATCTTCGACTTGCAGACACTTAGAATGTGTCTATACGATATACAACGTCGGTGCATTGAAATCAGTAAATTAAACCTGCGGCCAACTTTGAAAAAAAAAGGAGACGGTTTAGAGCCTGTTGGGCATTCCGTTGGGAAATTAATTACAAACCTGCGGGGTTATTAAGAACCAGCGGTGATGCCTCTGGTGCTGCCGCCTCCAGGGTTACAGTCACTGGTACATTCTATTGTTCAAAGCAAGGCGGACGCTCACATTTACGAATATTTATTACATCGATTCGCGCGCAGCAGTGGCCTAGACTTAGAAACTGCGTTCCAAGTTTCATTAAAAGTTTCTGCGTTATTTGATACAGATTTACGTAATTTACCTATACAGGAGGCGCTTCGTTCATTATTTCCGAAAGTAATTAAAGAATAATGCTACAAATCAGATAAGATAAGAATTTGGCGTGGCAAAATATTAAGATTTTATAAAAGGAGAGTTTAAAATGAATACATTTAGGCTGAGTTTATTCTACATTATTTTGTTAAAATTAATTTGGTTTTCATTCTTAGTTATAGGTACCTACGTATTGTTAGTACATCGGAAGCATCTTGATGAAAGTACAAAATTTAGAATTACTCAATAATTGGTATAAGTTTGGAACGAGATAAATTTAGTTTATAAGATGAAATAATTAATTTGATTGTTTACGGTAGTTGTATCAAACGCATGAATGCAAATGAGTATTCATGAGTTATTTTATAATGTGATAACGAGCAAAAATTTAAGCAATAACCGGACAACGCATAATTAATTAAGCACAATGCGTTCACGCATTACACATTTAGCAATTGCATTAACATAACACTCAGCAGTCGAAATAAAACGTATATTATTCAGTGCCACGATCTTCATGAATGTCAAAATTAATTCTTTGTTTATGAATATTTTGGTTTGTTTCACACTGCTTATATTTGCACTCCATTATGCCACAGACTGTGTGCGTTAGATATTATAGTCGTATTTATTCGCAAAATAATAGGAGATATTATTATATAAACGATTTACACGTTTTCGAGGCGTACACACACGGCTTTTAATTAACGCGTCCGCTTTTCGGCGAACGCGGACTGTGTGGTGGCCGCTCGCGTCGAGCCTCAGCGCTCGTAATTCTTAATTAATTAGGCCATTAGCGCATTAGCCAATTAATTCCTTTTTGCTCCTAAATTACTAAATATGCATGACGCTGCCATGTATTTTGGCTACGGGGCTGTTTAAACTGTGTGCGCATGTATTCGGCAATGTTAATGGCGAATTATGATAATCTCTCTGGTTAATTTGATAATTGCGCCGTAAGATTTACACAAATTGTAATTTATAGTTCATTTTTATAAATAAATACTAGACATATTGACAAAAAAAATGCAAAGCAATCAAATATGTAATGTGTGGTTTAAAGATTATTTACTATGTTTCATAATCTGCCAATAACACACTTGGGTGTTTAATAAGTAAATATTGAAGTCAAACAAACGAGGGTAAACAACATGAAAACGTACGGAAGAATCTAATGTAAAACCAATTTATATTTTATCTATATATTTGCGAAACGATTTTAAGTGTTTGACTTCTTTATAAACTACTTCTTTATTAGCACTAAGTTTGCAGTTTTGTCTCATTTTGATCAAATCAAGTTGTAGTTTCGAAAGTATCTATATAATACCTAGGTATGTGTTTCGAAATTGTACCACCTCGGCTAAAATTTAATGTGTTATATTTTTAGTGATCATATTATTTGCGAAGGGACTTCAACATGGCCAAAGATGACCCTAAGGAAACATCATTCGATCTTGATATTGTCATGGAAAAAATTGGAAATGCAGGCCCATATCAAAAATCATTCTTTCTCAAGTTCAATTTGATTTTACCGGTTTTGGCAGCCATGCCATATATGAACCTAATCATCAGTTTAGCAACTCCGGATCACTGGTGTCTTGTTCCAGGCCGTGAATATACCAACTATACCATAGATGCATGGAAAAACTTGACTATTCCAAGGTAAATTACTATCCGACAATAAACGGAAACTTCAATATGAATATTATATTATATTATATTGCAGGGATATAGATTCTAAAGGTCTGCTAAGTTATTCCAAATGTAGACGGTTTGTTAGCATGGGAGATCCAGAAAAAACCGTCCAGTGCGACCATGGTTGGAGTTACGATTACACTTGGTATGATAGGACGGCATCTACTCAAAATGATTGGGTGTGTGAGAATGAAATGGTACCAGCCAATACGATTGCTGTTGGTTTTATCGGTGAAGTTGTTGGAACCTTTCTTACTGGTTATGTGTCCGATAACTACGGCAGGATGCCAATGTTTTTCATATCCCTCTCCATGGTTATGATAGGTCGCATTATGTCCTCGTTAACATCAGACTGGACGTATTTGTTTATGTTTTTTAGTTTTATTGGCTCCTTGGCCAGTACGACGTTAATTCAAGGACCACTGGTCATTGCAATGGAAATTTCACGCCCAGAAGATCGCGCACTTATTGGTATGATAGTATTCCTGGCTTGGAACGCCGGATTGTCTATTCTTCCGCTACTCATGTGGTGGCTGCGTGATTGGGTGCCGTTTTTGCTTGCAACAACATTGCCATGTGGCATTTACTTATTTTCACGACCGTAAGTTTAATCGATGTGTGTTTGATTAACTGATATCTGTATTTTATATTTAATAGTTGGATAATTGAATCACCACGCTGGTTAGTCTCTAAGGGCAAAGTTGACCGTTGTATCAAAGAATTGCAGAGCGTTGCGAATGCGAATAAAACGGAAATGCCAACGGATGTCGAAAAAATGTTGTTAATTCACTGCGACATGAACAGCAATAGAAAGCATGAAAACAGGATTTTAGGATTTTTTTCGAGCCCACGTTTAGTTAAAAATGCCATTTTACTCATGTGTTCTTATTGCATTATACTACAGATTTACATATTTCTTGTTGTTAATGTTACAAATTTGGACGGCAATCCATTCTTAAATTATCTGTTTCAAGCGTTGGCCGAATTTCCCGGGTTTGTGCTTGCAAAAGTAATTAGCGATCGTTATGGAAGGCGTTATGCAAGTTTTGTGGGCTTCAGCATGACTTTTGTATCATGTACTTTAATAACATTTTTTATTAATGGTAATATGATTAATAACTTGAGGGAAACTAAGTTATATTATTGTTTTGTATTTATTTAGGCACTTCTATGACATTCGTAATTAATGCCTTGTGCGTATTGATGAAGTTCAGTCTATCGCTAGCGTATTTATCAGTAAATCTTCAAGCTTTGGAAATATATCCCACTTGCATTCGACAAACGGGTATTTCAGTCGGGATTATCTTTGCTAGCAGCATGGGCACTTTGGTGCCATACATTATTAATCTGGTAAATGTTTTATTGTTATTTATTTATTTATTTTTATTAATTTATTATATTATTTTATTACAGGGAATATCTGTAAACGCGATACTTCCTTATATGATTTATATTTTCTGTGCATTACTGGGCATGATCTGTTGCATTTTCCTGCCGGAAACACTTGGTCACCAGTTACCGGAAACTCTCGCAGACGCGAGGATTTTTGGTGCAGAACAAGATTTATGGGGAAGATCCAGGAAACGTCATTATATGCCCGATAGAGCTGATGCACTACTAAAGGAAACAATTAATAGTTCTTAAACTTAACTTGACTTAATCGCATTGTATTATAAATTTAAACGAGTACTCTTATAAATAAGGTCGTCCTTAACTGTTGATTGCTGGTGAGAAAACTTTAATCGCGTTTCATTATTTGAAAACTTTAGCACAAGTCTTAGAACTCTTAGAAAGTGTCCCAAAATTCCAGTAAAAATTCGTGCTTTTTTTTTCTATTTTTAATTTTAGTGTCGAATATTTCGTTTATTTCAGTTTCCGAGAAAATCTTGTGGAAATTTTTTTCAAACATATCTTATATTTGAATTTTATTCAATGTTATTCTGTGTAAGATTTGGTACTGAGTTTCATATTGTTTTTGGTTTCTGTTTATCTCTATTAATTGTTGAGATAATTGATTCATTAGTTACGCTGCGAGTACACATTTCACTTAAGGCCATCTGCAGGGAAAACCATTGATACTATTAAATGAAAAATTGAATAAATTGAGTAATTAGGAGCTGCCCTACCCGATTCTATTATTAGTTGTTAGTAATACTAATTAAAATGTCAAGCGTCTCCGCCACATTTGTGTTTATTAATTGAAATTTCTCAAGATACTAAAAAAAAAACAAAAAAAAGTTTTTATTATTTAATATCATAGAATACAATTTTGTTGTGTAACTAGCTTTTGCCCGCGACACCATACATTTTTTTACTGTCATCGTATAACACAAGCCTCTTTTTAGATGATGTATGTATATTCAACTCTCTACCCAGTCAAAAAGTACCCTAAAATACTCTTTAAAATTGTCAATTTTATAAAAATTTGTAAACATGATGTAGAAAACGCCCTGTATATCATGAAGTAATTGAGTTTTTTGGAGTTTCTCACCGCCATGTCAGAGTACGAAAGTCCCTCTACATGACGCATGCTTTTCAAACCTACTAGCCCTTCCACAAGTACCTTTAATTGTTTTTAAAAACTTAGCATTAAAAAAATGAAAACATAGTGTGGAAAACACCCTGTATTTCCTAAACTAATATACTTTTTCCAGGTTTTTTGACGCCATATTATAGTTCAAGAGACCCTCTTTACGATGTATTCTATTTCAATCTTCTTAACCTTTTAGAAGTGCCCTAAAATGGCCTTCAAAAGTTGGCAAGTTTGTGAAAATTTGAAAACATGCTGTGGAAAACGCCCTGTATCTCGTGAACTAAACGATTTTCTGAAAGTTTTTCAACGTCATGTTATAGTTTAAGAAACCCTTAACAATATGCATACCTTTATAACTCTGTAAACCATGTGAAAGTGTCTTAAACTGCCCTTTAAGTATAGCCATTTTTGACCAATAAATTTCATTTCTCGGTCGAATAACAGGGTCGAACTTTTTTATTTAAATTTTTTTTCTGTCCAAGGACAGAGTCGCATTTATTTTCCTAAAAATTTTTCGGTTGAACAACAGAGTCAAACTTTTTTCTTAAAATTTTTTTCGGCCGAAGAACAGGGTCGAACTAATTTTCCTAAAAAAATTCGGTCGTACAACAGGGTCAAACTTTTTTGGTTGAAGAACAGGGTCGAACATATTTTCCTAAAAAAACTTTTGGCCGAACAACAGGGTCGAACTTTTTTCTTAAATTTTTCCCGAGAAACCGGCGAGATTAAATTGCGATTATCTCGAGAACGAAAAGGGCTACGAAAAAAAGGACCACATATTCTTAATTCTTAAAAAGTACTCTACAAGATGGCACCCTTTGCGAAAAACGACAAAAAGTGCATAAAAAAATTTAACGAAAAGATTTTGTTATAAAAAAGGCAAAAGATTTCTTTTTTTATGTTTGAAATTAAAAGTTGGAAATTTTAAATTATGTTTTCGGATTCTGATAGATAATGTAATTTTGCAAAGTAAACACTTTAATAAGTTTTTTTGCTAACATTTACCGTTTAGGCCCTATTTGCAATTTTAATAAAAAAATAATACCATTTGAATAACAACAAAACATGACTTTGATAGGGTGATTATTATCAAAACACTTAGTTTTAGAACAAAAGTAGATGTCAATAAGTAAAACGTGCATTTACATTAAGACTTAAGACTCAATTATCTCAGGAACTAAAAGAGTTAAACAAAAACCGAAAACACAATTATGCTCAGTATGAAATTCTAGGTGAGATAACATTTTAATAATTTCAACTATAACATGTGCCTTTAAAATTTTACGGCGCGATTTTCTCGGAAAGTAATAAAGTTAGAAAAGAACTTTCTTCATTTTGTTCATGCCATGGTAAGGATCTATCAAATGGCAGATTTAGTTTTCCCATTTTCCAAAGTTGACCAAAGACCACTCAAAAAGAATCAAGAGGTTACACTTGACTCTTTTTGGACTCAAAACATAATTTTTAAGCTAGAAGAAAATGGAACACGCTAATCGATTGAGTTTTCCGAGGGGATGAAAGATATCAAGTCAGTTTTCCGATAACATCATTATTTTGGAAAATGCGTGGTAACTTCAATACTGATCAAATAAAACTACCTCTCTAATTTTCCCCAAACTTTCCAAACTGATGAAAAACAATGCCAGGAATCCAATAATCCAGGTTTGGTTGCGCTATCTTAATTAGTTTTTAAGTTACTGATCATTTCTAATTATTACATAAATGTTGATAAATATAAATTTTAACATGTTATATGATGTGAAATTTAATTCTACATTCGGATATGAAAACCGTTTTTCTTTATCGCTAATGGTTTTCAAGATAAGTAAGAAAAACTGGTTTATTCGTTTTCTCTATCAGTTCCTAGGCGAAAAATAAAAATTGGAAATTTGCCTTTTTTATTACCGAATACTGAAGAACATGTAATTCTGCATACTTTATCTTAATAAATTTTTTTTTCTAAAATTAAGTGTTTTGATAATAATCACCCTCACTAAGTCATGTTTTGTTGTTTTCAAATTGTATTATTCTTTTTTTAAATTGCAAATAGAGTCTAAACGGTAAATGTTAGCAAAAAAACTTACTAAAGAAATCGATGCAAAATTAAATTATCTATCAGAATCCGAAAACAGAATTTCAAAATTCCAACTTTTAATTTCGAACATAAAAAAGAGAAATCTTTTGCCCTTTTTATAACAAAATCTTTTCGGTAAATTTTTTTATGCACTTTTTGTCGTTTTTCACAAAGGGTGCCATGTTGTAGGGAAGGTTTTAAGGATTAAGAATATGTGGTCCTTTTTTTCGTAGCCCTTTTAGTTCCCGAGATTATCGCAATTTAATCGCGCCGGTTTTACGGGAAAAATTTAATAAAAAAGTTCGACCCTGTTGTTCGGCCGAAATATTTAAGAAAATATGTTCGACCCTGTTCTTCAACCGAAAATAATTTTACCAAAAAAGTTTGACCCTGTTGTTCGACCAAAATTTTTTTTAGGAAAATTAGTTCGACCCTGTTCTTCGGCCGAAAAATTTTACCAAAAAAGTTTGACCCTGTTGTACGACCAAATTTTTTTTTTAGAAAAATTAGTTCGACCCTGTTCTTCGGCCGAAAAAATTTTTTAGAAAAAAGTTTGACTCTGTTGTTCAACCGAGACATTTTTAGGAAAATAAATTCGACTCTGTCCTTTGACGGAAAAAATTAAATAAAAAAGTTCGACCCTGTTATTCGACCAAAAAATGAAATTTATTGGTCAAAAATAGCTATATATAAAGGGCATTTTAAGACACTTTCACAGGGTTTACAGAGTTAAAAAGATGCGCATATTATGGAGGGTTTCATAAACTTTAACATGACGTTGAAATACTTTCAGAAAATTGTTTAATTCACGAGATACCGGGCGTTTTCCACAGCATGTTTTCAAATTTTCACAACCTTGCCAACTTTTGAAGGCCATTTTAGGGCACTTCTGAAAGGTTAAGAAGACTGAAATAAAATACATCGTAAAGAGGGTCTCTTGAACTATAATATGGTGTTACAAAACCTGGAAAAAGTAAATTAGTTTTGGAGATACAGGGCGTTTTTCACCACATGTTTTTTAATTTTTACAAAATTTCCAACTTGTAAAGGGCATTTTAGGGCACTTCTAAAAGGTTAAGAAGATTGAAATAAAATTCATCGTAGAGAGGGTCTCTTGAACTATTGTATGGCGTCAAAAAACCTGGAAAAAGTATATTAGTTTAGGAGATACAGGGCGTTTTCCACCGCATGTTTTCAAATTTTTACAAACTTGCCAACTTTTGAAGGCCATTTTAGGGCACTTCTGAAAGGTAAAGAAGATTGAAATAAAATACATCATAAAGAGGGTCTCTCGAGCTATAATATGGCGTCAAAAAACCTAGAAAAAGTTTAATAGTTTAGGAGCTACAGTGCGTTTTGTACACCATGTTTTTAAATTCTCATAAAATTGTCAACTTTTGAAAGACAATTTAGGGCACTTCAAAAAGGTTTAAGGGATTGAAATAAAATACATCGTAAAAAGGGTCTTTTGGACTATAATATGGCGTCAAGAAGCCAGCAGGAAGTATATTAATTAAGAAAGAAAGTGTATTTTCCTAAATAAATTCGATCGAACAACAGGGTCAAAAATTTTTCTTTTTTTCCCGTGAAACCGGCGAGATGCAATTGCGATTATCTCGAGAACTAAAAGGGCTACGGAAAAAAGGACCACATATTCTTAATCCTTAAAAAATTCTCTAAAATATGGCACCCTTTGTGAAAAATGACAAAAAGTGCATAAAAAAATTTAACGAAAAGATTTTGTTATAAAAAGGGCAAAAGAATTTTTATGTTCGGAATTAAAAGTTGGAATTTTTAAATTCTGTTTACAGATTCTGATAGATAATTTAATTTTGCATCGATTACTTTTGTATATTTTTTTGCTAACATTTACCGTTTGACCCTATTTGCAATTTTAATTAAAAAAAAAAAGAATACAATTTGAATAGCAACAAAACATGACTTTATTAGGGTGATTATTATCAAAACACTTAATTTTAGAACAACATTTAATTAAGATAAAGTATGTATAATTACATGTTCTTCAATATTCTGTAATAAAAAAGTTAAATTTCCAATTTGTATTTTTTGCCTGGGAACTGATAAAGAAAAGGAATAAACCAGTTTTTCTTATTTATCTTGAAAACCATTAGAGATAAAGAAAAACGGTTTTCATATCCGAATGTAGAATTAAATTTCACATCATATAACATGTTAAAATTTACAGTTATCAACATTTGTGTAATAATTAAAAATGATCAGTAACTTAAAAACTAATTAAGATAGCGCAACTAAACCTGGATTAATGGATTCCTGGCATTGTTATTCATCGGTTTGGAAAGTTTGGGGAAAATTAGAGAGGTAGTTTTATTTGATCAGTATTGAAGTTACCACGCATTTTCCAAAATAATGATGTTATCAGAAAACTGACTTGATATCTTTCATCCCCTTAGAAAACCCAATCGATTAGCGTTTTCCATTTTCTTCTAGCTTAGAAAATATTTTTTGAGTCCGAAAACAGTCAAGTGTAACCTCTTGACTCTTTTTGAGTGGTCTTTGGTCAACTTTGGAAAATGGGAAAACTAAATCTGCCATTTGATAGATTCTTACCATGGCATGAACAAAATGAAGAAAGTTCTTTTCTAACTTTATCACTTTCCGAGAAAATCGCGCCGGAAAATTTTAAAGGCACATGTTATATTTGAAATCATTAAAATGTTATTTTACCTAGAATTTCATACTGAGCATAATTGTGTTTTCGATTTTTGTTTATCTCTTCTAGTTCCCGAGATAATTGATTCATAAGTCTCCTTGCGAGTGCACATATACAGAAAAAAACCCTTACTTCTACTAAGTGAAAAGTTGTTTAAATTGGATAATTAAAAACGCCTCTACCCAATGAGGTAGTTTGTTTTCAATAATTAATTAAACTATTCTTTAAAATGTCAGGCGCATTTCTTTTCATTATTAATAACTTTTTTCAAAAAATTTAAATATTGTACTGTTCTATTACTAATTATCAAAGAGGACAATTTTATGGTGCGATTGTTTTAATACATAATTTTAATTTAGACAACGATTTAAAAAATACACGCCAATATTTGTTTAAATCTGTTCTGCCTATACGCGAACTTTACAAGGCAATAAGGTCTAAATCAAGCATGCTAGGAGAAAATATTAATAAAATTAATTTCTTAAATTTAATTGTTTGTTAAGAATTCTTAATCAGAAATAAAAAAATCCTGAGTATCTTTAATTTGGATACTCGATCGACTGAAGCGAGTATTCGCACCCGGTACTGAAGAAGCATCTATCGGCATCGGTCCCCTACTACAACAAGAAATCTCTGCTACCGCTCCGCCGGGCACTACCAGCGCACAAATGTGGGTCAGCCATTCACAGGTGGCTACCCAAAATTTAACTCACGGAACTTCACTTGCCGAACAAAACTATAGACTTGACACTGGAAAATATATTTAAACAAGCAATAAAAGAACATCCACAACTTAAAAACGCATAAAAAGGCAATTAATCTTTTTTATCTCGTCGATCAACGCGTCATGCCTGCGCGTCTATTTGAGGGACAAACGAAGTGTGCCCACAACATTGGTGTCAGCGGTGGCGGTAGTCGAAATGTGTTTACGTTGATTTTGATGGGTTTTTAATGGCATAACTAGCGTCGGTGCGCTTTGTTGGTGTTGTTTTATTGATCTTAAAATCATTTTAACGACCGCACATAAGCCCACTGCTTTTGCGGCCTACGAGCGCTTACACTTTACCTACTCTCTTCGAGAGCACCAAGAAGCTGATGGGCGTTTAACCCCTTGTTAACAATTTTATTATCATATAATTTTTATTGACGCCACTGCAGAGCAAGTGCCGGAATTAAATTTAACTACACACTTGTAACTATGAATGTAGCTCCTTGGAGCATTAAAACGAAAGAAAAGAAGCAAATCATCAATTCGCTGCTTTACAGTGACATCTAAAGGAGAATTCGCGGACTTGCAAAGAGTTGGCAGCACAACATCTAAATTTATTGAGACCATAAACATAAAATAATCTTGTACTATGCAATTTAAACTACAAACATTTAGGTAACGGTCGTAAAGTTGTAAATGTCTAGCGCTTTCAGCTTTGGCCCAATAACTTGTAATATGACTTTGGTAAGAAATCTATAGATGGAACCACAGTAAAAAACGCGGAGTTAATTTAAAAGTTTCAATTAAATAAAACTGGAAACCGATTTGTGAACAACCATTTGAGTTTATAATTATTTCTTTCGGTAAATATATATGTTTATCAAATTAACACTTTGTTATTCCTCCTAAATTATGTTTACGATCTTCTTCATAGGTTGTTTTTGTCAATGTATTCTATGTTCAATTCACATGGCAATTTTAGGGTTGAGTTGGCTTTTCTGGAGAAAGTAGCATGTATAAACAGCATATGCCTGCGGGCGGCAATATCATCGCACCGAAGAAAAGCCCCCCAATTTGAAAGTCGAAACGCAAATGGTTATGACATATCTTGAAGGAGTCCGCAGAATGGGGACAATGGGACACTTTAGGCCGTTTTTGGCAATTTCCTCACAGGTCTTACAACAAGCCTATGTCAGTTTCTTCACACCACCATTTCAACTCACGTTTTCACAAGTTTTCCTATCTTGTTGGTCAATTTCATCTGTAATTTTCATGCAATCATTAAATTAGCTCCCAGTGATTATAATCTTATATTTCATATATCAGATCATAACAGATTGTTTAGTTGTGAAATTGTTGGAAGTGAATGTTGTAAGATGCATTCGATCCATCTAGTCATGTCCGAGTGCCTCGAGCGGTGTTGGTGAAGTTGTGCAGACGGCGATTCTAAAATAGTCAACAATACACGACATGCCTCACAATCGGGCAGTTATTCCGTCCCGTTTGAACAACAGCAGTCTGGTGGCAGCGGCATGTCGGTGGATATAGATTTAGTGTTGCGGCTGTGTCGGTGCGTCGACCGAAGCGAGAATCGTCCAATGGCGTCGCCGTAATGGCCACGCCGCGGCACGCTTCGTTGCTCGTCCGCCAGATAGCACTTAAATAGCACGTCGTAAATTTTATGATTACGACTCCGCCCCCCGGTTCCGCGCCTGCACGCGGTTATAGGCGGTGCGTCCCTCCCGCCCTTCTGGCGCACGTTTTTTATCGGCGCGTTTGCCGCTCGCCCCACTCCACCAGCTTCCCCACCATCCGGTTTAACCATTTCCACCTACGTTAAGTGCAGAAAGCTCGAGGGTGGGGACGGTCGGAGCAGGGAATTATGAAAAACCGGTCCTGGCCGTCACAGCGCGAGTGAGCTAGCAAGCGGTGCTTTGGCAGTGCTCATTTCTCAATTTTAATTTCGACTTGCACTCACGAGCAAATTTTGGGTGTAAATATTGTTTGTTTGCACGACGTGCAAATAGCCCGGAACAGCCACCGGTTGTAATTGCACAGAATTAGCTACCCATGCATATTTTTATCTAACAAAACTGGAACAGAAAAAAAATGTTTTTTATGGATATTTGTTTATATCAACAAAGTAAACAGAATTAATTTAATACTTCAGTAAAAAATTGCACATGCACCTCGTAAACTTATAATTGCCGTCCGTGTAAGTTATATCCGGCGATATCTTTACAATCGTCAAAATAATAATAATTAATGCGACTGTTATGTAACATTATTACAGCATGCAGGTTATTTTATTTTGTGCTAAGCATCGCACGTTTTCTTCAGCACTAAAAAAAACGCTTCAATGTTCTGGTAAACATTGAACAGTAGTGAACGTTTATTAAACTTGCATGACACTGCGGCGTTATTATGACCTACGCTTATTAGTTTTATACTCGTTTTTATATATTTTATCGGCGATTTTATTTCGTTTATTGTCTTTATTATGCGTATATCAACGGAATAACTAAACGCGTCTGACCGAACGCGCCGAGCGGCTCAATGGTGGGCTTAAACTGTTTGAAATCATCAAGTAGGTCAGGATCCCAGCAGTCTGTGAGCTTTTGTCAAGCATGTTTATTTTTTCGCAATCTGACAATTCGTTATCGCCGAGTGGTGTCTCCAAGTGAGATTTTAATAGATTTTACGACTCTAATGGAAATAATGTAAACTTTAATGAATGCATTAAGTTACAGTCGTTCTATTGATTTATAGGTTTCTAAATCTACTCTTGGTGTTTCAAAATCGGTCTTTTTTTAAAGAAAAATATGCTTTTATAGAAGCGAATGCACAAAGTGAACGTGCATGTGTTTAATTTATGCGTTATTTAGCATTATTATGGCTAGCCGTCGATGTTTTATTGAATTTTTATTCTTTTATTATAAAATCTGGTATTGTTATTGTTATTGATATTGTTATGGTTATTGGTTATTGCGGCGTTATGTTTATTGGCCGGCATAACGCTGTCTTTAAAGTAGTTACGATCACGAATTGGCTTCGACCACAAATCATCCTCAACTAGCTACAAAAATCTCGGCGTGTATCAACAAATTGTTACAAATGACTACAAACTATTCCCTAGTAACATTTTCAAGTTTTCAACTTAAGTCAATTCATGCCGATTCGTTCTGGAAACTTTGATTCAAATCAAGAATCTTGGTACAAGAGAAAAAAACTTGATTCAAATGTAAAAAGTTGTTCTGTTTTCAAGCTTTTCGTAAATTTATGTGTGTTGCCACAGAGTATAAATGTGTTGAAAAAAGAGTAAAACTTTGAGTAAGACATTGGAGTGCAGAAGAAACGAGACGAACGAAAAGAAACACACGCCTCGCATGTTAAAAGAGAAAAAAAATTAAATTTATAAGCATCCAAACTAGCCGAAAAAGACAAAAACGCTAATTTATGTATTTTTGATTCCAAAGCGCGATTAACCCACAACTTATTACTATACATTCTTCTGCTGTTTCATCTTTGTTTGTTGTTATTCACGGCTTGCTCTCTGCATATTTTCATACGAAATTTGTAAGTCTATTTCTTTATCTACGTGAACATGAAAAATGTGAATTTTATAATATTCAAATGCCTTTGATACATGCCACCTCAGCCGCATAATGTAATCGCTCGATCTCGTTTATTTATATAATTAATACAGTTATAATTCGTAATTATAAACTGCTGCTTATATCGCGTTATAACTTCATATCTGTGATTTTATGCTCGACTCTGGTAGACAGTCCATCCTCTTGCATGCTAATTAAAATCTAGCAACAATGTTATAAATCAATTCGTGTCTAGTTATTATACGGAATTAACGCAAATTGTGCGCATAATTTGTGTTATAAGTACGTGCAAAATTACCAGCTTTATGGCAAGCCATAAAAATTTAATATTTTTCTATAAAGTACAATAAAATGCTACCAGGTAGAAAAAAATCAATAGGCATTTGCTACCAGAGAGTTTGTAAACAAATTTAAACACGAATCATTATTGTGTTATGCTTGAATAATGCTCCAGTGAAAATCTAAATAGATAGGTGTGCTTAGGGCGCGCTTGAGGTGCTGATGCGCTTTAGTGTCGATTTGAGTACCACGGGGCAATAAATAATGGCTAATTAGTTAATTAAACCGCATAAAATTTAATGAATAATCTTGCTACTGTATGCGAAGCTATCAGAGCTGCGTGAGTGAGAAACGCAGTGCATTTTCACATTTTCCCACCTGCATAATAAAATGTTTGATGACGTGACTGTAACATGCATATTATAACAGTTATAAACTTGTAATGCTCGTGTTAAAATCGGTGATTAACAAGTCGTTAGGCGCGTACGCTATTCTGCAGTAAACTGCAATATTAAAACCAACACAACACAAAAGAAAAACTAACAAAATGTTTTTTTGTGTTTAAATATGACATATTTAAATTTATACTATGAGGCGTGTATCCTGTAAGTTTCCTTATTTTCCAGCGAGAATCTCTTTTCCGCGAAGAGTAATTTGCTTGAGCTTAAATCACGCTGAATGACTTTTATGTACGCGCACTTGTGACGCGTGTACGCAGCGCCAGAGAAAAAAAACACTCTGTTGCGTGGAACCGAATACAAAGAACGCAAAGAGTGCGTATATTTGTGAATATACAATGTTGCACGGATAATGTATGCTTGTTTGTCAGTAATTGCTAATAGTTGATGCTAGTCGACATGGTGGCGAGTCGCGATTGATTTATGACCGTGCTACGTTTCTCTGCTTGCAGCTCTATGATTTGAGCGACACGGCGCTACGTGGAGGCGCATGACCGAGCATTAATTTTATTTTGTGCGAGCATTTAATGCTTTCCACGCGCATAATTTCAGGTTTACGATGCACAATGCGATGTGTGCCATGTCTATTCTTAAATATGTGTCATATTTCCGAGATTTGCGAAGAAAACCAGGTTGTTGTTCCAGAATCATCTGAGGTTTTTAATTGTGGTATAGTTTTCAAGTGTTTAGTACACAAATCGATACCAAAGTGCAAATGTGATATTTAGTAATTTATTGATATAAACAAGCTATATGCAGATGGGCGAGTGCCCGAGTGCGAATGATGGTACAGGAGGGTTCTGTGGAGGGTATTTCCTCCCATCGCAATATATTTTATATTTTATTCGCGCCGATAAATTCTTATTTTCATATTCCCAGAGCAGCAATGCGCGCCGAACGGGATTGCCCGGACTGCCCGGTTCTAACCCCCGGCTCTCGACTTTACCCTCGGTTCTTCTGTTCCGTGATGTTCTACCTCTACGCAGGCATCCGCTGAAAACAAAAAAAGATGGAGTCCAGCAGACGGAGAGCAAACGCATGCACGTAGATAGCATACGGATACGCCTGGGTAGAGATGTATGGCGGTGCCCGGCCGGGGCTGAGGGTGAAAGCTCTTCATGGCACATGAAGCATCGAACACGAACGAAGCGAGTGCTGGAGAGCAGCCCGGACGAAAGGAAAGTGACTGACTGACTATAGCCGTCTGGCGCACACTTTTTCTCTTAGCGCACGCAATTTTCATCTTTTTCTAGCCCGCGTCAGGTGGATATGGCTTTCCTATTTAGTTTTATAACTTGTTCAAGGCTTGCTGCTTGCTCGCACTCTTTTTGGTATGCGATGAGGGCGTAGGTGTAGCTGTGTGGTGGTGCGTAACACAATGGGGAGTAACAAATTACGATTTTAGCATTTTCCCAATTTTCGCTTGTACCCTCTTATATATTAGGGAGTGTCAAAAACAGTGGAGCTCGTGTTGGGCATGAGCAATGAGAATTACTACAAGTTTCTTCCAAAAGCATCTCCCGAACAAAAGTTACCAAAATTACAGATGAACTTTGGAAGTTCCAAGTGTGAGATATATTTCATATTTCCATTGTCATCCCCAAAGGGTTGCCGGTTGCCAATTTCATTTCTCGCTTATTGTTCTAACACTTGTGGTTCCAACCCCAAAATATACGTGGATATTCAAAATTTTCCCAAGAATATCTTTTATCTAACGTTATTAGATAGATCATGATAAATGTCCTGTTCTTTTATTCGTCCTTCATCATGTTTTGCGTACATCGTTGAATTTGCACCCTCCCCGGTGTAATCAAACATATCCATTGTCCGAGTGTCCAGTGAGAGACGAAATTATATTTTGTAGCCACATAACGTGCTTGGGGTCGGGGAATTTAGGGTTGTCTCTCTATAAACGCGCTGCGAATTGTTAACTTTATGTCTGCTTTATGCGTCCTCACTTGAATACGTCTTATTACGAGCCCTATGACGAGCATTTTGTGCATCATGGGGTGCGAACTATCCAGCGGCACCAGCACCTTAAACCGTCGTCCACAATTGGATTTTATTAGCTGTGACGCATTTTTCTGGTTTTCGGTCAAGTTTAAACGGCCACTAAACGCCATTTCTCCTTGTACGTACTATCACCCTTCTTCGCTTTCACCCTTTATTGCAACTTTCTATTCTTTTGTCGCTACCTAAGAAAAAAAATTATCAGAACTGGAGAAAGTTGTATAAGTAAGTTGCGCTGGAACATCCAGATGCTGCAAGTTAAAGATAATGTAACCGGTACACAGATATTCTTTTGAAATTGTCGAAACGGCAGGAAAACGAGGCGCGTGCGAAGCGGCGGCTGGGCGGCAGGAAAATGTGCAAGATGGCAGTTTAGCGGCTCCGGCACGACCCGAAGTAATCACTGGCAGCGCCTCGGCAGCCTGTATATTGTACTCAGGACGATCGTACACGAGCACAACTCGCGCACAGTTCTGCACGACCTTGCGGACACCTTTATGACATTCAGGCCTGAAAACTGCCAACAACTTTCCGATCATTCTGATCACTGACTTCCTAACCTAACAAAATGATTATTTCGCTGAGACAAAGAAAAGCTCAAAATTATAAATTTAAATGCGGAAAACTTATTCTGGGAGTCTGCGGCAAATGTAAATTTTGTTTTCGAGTTTAATTTCATGCTTGAACACCGTCACTTTTTCCGCTCCCGCATGGACTCTATATTTGCACAAAAGCTGCACGTTCCATGCTGCCGCTGCTGTTTCCAATACTAATGGTCTGAATGCCCCGGGAAGAAAGAGGGAGGACGCAAACAAACACTAATACCTTGCCAGTTGAAATATATACGACCGAAAGTAATGAAAGTAATGGAACATGGAACTAAAGTAGACGGGGCTGCGCCTTGCGCGCTTGCTCGTGCTATAAAGTAGAAAAACTTCCAATTTTCTTGCGCCCGCAGTTTCCCCCATCGCTTTCGCAGTCTATTCCGTTGCGCTACAATGTATCTAATTACGTTCGGGGCGCTCGCTTGCTCAAGGCGTGCGCGCACAGTTTCCAAAAGGTTTGCCACAAGATAAAACATCGCTTTCCGAAACTTTTCTCGTGAACTTTCCACCCGAACAACAACTTGATCATAAACTAAATCTGCGTTTTTTTTTCTCTCACTTTTCGGTTCTTCAATTTTCATAACTTCCATTTATCTTCTGGACATAACTTTGGTTTTAATTTTTTGAAGCGGCGTTATTTAATGCTTCTAATGGGCTGTCGGCGTTAATTAGGATATTTAGAAAATCCCGGGTTGCTGTTTGTTCTTATCTGACGCTTTAAATTAGAGACCCGGTTTGGCTGGAATGTCAAATGTAGAAAAAAACACACCCACCGCATTCTGAAATTACGACGACCGACCAAAAACTCGACAAGAACAATGAGCGTCCCAAAAGGTTACAAGAGAAAAATTACAAACATAAATTTAATGCCCATACGGGTCTAATACAAATGAACATGTGTTACAATGCTTAAAATGCATGAAATGTCTAAAACATGAAGATTTGTGTAAATGTTAGATGTAGGTATACAGAACACCCAGAAACAAAATCCAAATTCGAAATGAATTTGATGGATATTAAATGAATATCTTTCGTGTTTTTCGTGACGCAGTATCTCTCCATTCGATTCGATTTTCATGGTCATTAGTCGATACGAGTCGCAATATTATATCAATTCCCATTACCGTCTCCACTCCGCTGGCGCGCGTTTTCTGTGTCTCCCGAAATGGCCGTTCGGAGCTCCAATGCCAACACTCGAATGAGTTTGTTTATTCGATCGGAAACGAATTAAATGCGCATCGCAGGGGTTAAATAAACCATGTACGTATCGAATGCGCACGGTTTTATCGCCGTCTGATTGCTTTTCTAATATATTTATTTTGTTCCACGCATCAATCACCGAGAAAAACATTTTGTACACAAAAATTCCCTCTAATACGACTGTACCTAGATAGTAATTTTGTTTTGCGTGGAATTTATTTTCCAAAATATGGTGGATTCAATATTTAATCTGATCGTTTGTCACGTTTGAAATGGTGAATCTGGAAATGCTAGTGTCAGATACATTTGTCCACCGTGTGGAGATTCCATTGTTCTCCCTCGTTGGGATTGTTCATGGTTCATTGAAAATGCAATTAGCAGGAATTGCGCGCTGCGCGAAATGGAAGCACCGGCGTTTTCGATATTTATTGCTGCGATTAATACGCGTTTTCCATTCGGGGATTTTCACGCTTTTCACATGCTAACACACGTTAGTCCGAAAGTGCACACGGTTTTAGAAGGAGATAGATGTATAAACATTGTCCACCTTTCTATTTTATCGCGCATTGAATACAGAATGCTGGGAAGCAGTAGCTGGTCATAAACGAATAGGTATGAGGTGTTCAGCTGGGTTCAGAATAAAATTATTCTAAAAATTTCAAACATTGTTACTTACTAAATTTAAAAATCAGTATTAAACGTTTTAAAATGTTTCTGTGACTTTTTTGAGCTTTCACCTCCCTAGATTTGTACGAGTTCAACTTGCATTCCATAGTAGCATGTATACAGAAGCCTTTACATAAACATAACGACAGAAGCTGAAACTTTACGTGCACATTGCGGTTATTGAATTGATCAATTTAGTCCCTCCAGGAGTTTCATATCCCATCCAACTTACCCAGCCTCAGACGAAAAAAACTGAATTAAAGAAGGAATTAAATATGGAAAACGAATTTTTAAACAGGTAACTTTTTGATTATTTTTGCATTTTTCATTCAATTCAGGTCTGAAATTGTGCGTTGCCTTAGGAAGACGAAGAGATTTGTAGCTTGGGTGCTTGATGGAAAGACCAAGGAGCGCACACGCAAAAAAAAACGAGTCTGAACGAAGGGAGTTTTATAATTTGCATAATAAATCGCGAGAAAATACTTTCGGCGCGCAAAACGCTATCTTTATAATCGGAAGTTTTCAGCGCGGCCGTAAACTTCCCGTTTTATATGTAAACGAGTCTTCGGCTTCTCTTCGTGTGCTCCTCCGCCGCAAGACTCATGGTTGGAAGAAGCCGGCTGGAAGTTTGCGCGATTTTTCTGTGCATAGTCTTTGTTTCTGGCCTGACAATCCCAAATGCACGTAAAATGTCACTCAAGACGTAAAAGGCTTGTCGAAGCGCTACCATTGAACAGTAAATGTCTCAATATTTGAAAAAAACTTTGCACTTTCTTTTATAAACGTAGCTAATACAATTTATAGATCCGTTTGGTTGGTGTGATTGCGTGATTTTCGTAGGTGCTGCTACGGTCCTGATCGGAAGCTGTGGCTACTTAATTCAATTCAATTCTTGTCAATTTGCAACTTTATGACGCACAAAAGGTGCCGCCGAATAAACACATTGCATAGCAGTTTATATAATGTATGAAAAGTACCAAAAACACACCGTGGAACATCATAAATATTTATTTAATTGAAACGAGTTACACTAAATTAACATCAACAGTCCAGGCGATAAATGATCAAAGCACTTGTTATACTGTTTGTTTGCAATTAAACAAAAGCCTTATCTAAATTAAATCAATTTTTTTTCGAATTTTTCAACTAAATGTCATTTATATTTACATCAGTTCGGAATTTGCTCCGAATTCATGAACTGGATGAATCGATGACTCGTGAAATGCGTGCATAATTACGTCCCCAGTGCAATCAGTGGCAGGATTCTGTATATATAAACGACGCGACATCGCGTGTGGTCCAAATCACTTGGAAATGCAAAAACGCAACGCGAATGCCGATTACCAATACTGAGCAGCGGCGACCTTAAGCCAAAAGGCCAGTAGGAGCCGGCATATGCCAGCAGAAAAATGACATTATCTCGGCTGCAACTGTATTTCCACTGATTTAATTGCGAATGCACGTATGAGCGAGCCAGCAAGCCCTGTGTTTGCTGTAACTGGAAGACGGTTGGAGGAGGACCAATGCGCAGCGCAATTAAAACGCGCTTGTTACTTAACGTCTCATGTTTATGTGCGCGCAATTTACGAGGTTCTATTATTTGTTTATTTCTGATAACTGTGTGAAATTAATTACTGTTTAACTGTTATAATTCATTTGCTCTTTTGGTGGGCCATTTATTAAAAAAATAGCAAAACAGCAAAAAACGTCAATTTAATTAAATATTGCTTACCTTTTTTTCATGGATAACTCAGGAATGTTGAGAATTATTCATTTCACCTTCCTGAAAAATTAAATCAAATTTAATTTATGAAATTTAAGTGCACATGATAAAATCCAGTGTTTCCTGTAAGTAATCTGTGTGGTAACACCAAAGAAATAATTTAATCGCTCGAATAAAAACTGATTTGATTTTAATGAAGTAATTAAGTGCGCAGTTGCTCCAGAAAGATTTCCAACGTGTGGTGTACCCAGCGTATCACATTAAAAAATTGTTATTACAACACTTAATCGCAATACTTAATCCAAACGTGCTTATCGACGCCCATTCAAAAGTGTTATAAATATCGATTACGAATGGTTTCGAGCAAACGTTTAGGTGATTAATGAGGCAAACATAAATAATTCAGGTGTGAAATGACTTCATACCTCGACAAAATTTCCATACATTTAAATTTACATCGAACACAAATTTTTCCAAAGAAATATTTATTTCAGTTCAGACAATCTGTACAATTACAATGTTATAATATTAATTGGTTACACAGTAATATAAAGAACATGGCATCAAAGCAAAAATCGTAGGTATAGATAGCAACTATACGAGTTCATAATCATCGATTAAGTTTGTTTTTTCTTCCTTCAATTCAATATCAACATGGTTGTACCTCCGCAAACATTTCCATTACTTTTCCATTCAACTATCATTATCTTATTGGTATATAAGGTATGTCTAGTACACTTCTCGCTTCATCGTCCTTAAAACACATATCAATCATTAATGTTTGTATCTTGTTACGACACTGAATCAATCGTAAATTGTTACGTAATGCATGTATTTGTTACTTAACCGCTACTATTCTTACACTTATAATTACGTGTGTGTGTTTTTATTCAATTATTTTCCATATGCATCTTATCCGTTAAACTTGTAATGTATGTATGTATAAGTTATGTATCTTGCATTCCTTAAACGTTAAGACTCGTCTGTGTTACGTACATGTTTAGATTTGCGATCCACTTTGAGAGATCGTTATATATCATGGGCATGGGCGGGGGTTAGGGGGGAGGGCTGAGGATTACAAATTAATACTAGTTAGGATCTCGAAGTGTTTCCCTTCGCGCAAAACATCCTTACAAAATATAAATTAAAACAGAACCTCGTTAGTATAATACACAAAGAGATTGTTGTCGTAGAAGTGACCTCAAGTTCTTACAGATATAAACGTAATTAATTTTATCGCTTAATAATTCGGCATTTGAGAGAGATTCGAGTGCCATTTGATTCGCAAACAAACATAATTGTACTTTTCGTTTAAATCTACTCGTTCTCGCCCAAATATTTACATCTTACATAAAAATAAAAACATAAAGAATACTGCGAAGAAATACACAAACAAGCAGCGCTACACTATTTGTTATTAACTGATTGCACGAAATAATTGCGTATTGCACCTTTTCCAGCGGCGATCATTTTCTTATTATTCTGTGTTTTTAATTTTAAATCTCTCTTTTTGTCATCGAATGCAAATTTCGCTTTGATTTGAGATTTTTTTGAAAAAATCTACGAATTCTATCACAGGCTAAAGAGAGCTAAATTTTTTTTTTACTAAATTTTGTATGCTTCCAATGATGAAAATAATAGTTCAGCCACGAAACATCACAAACAGAGACAATAATTTAATTACTAAACTCCCAGCAATAAAACGAAAAACCAAAAATTTAATTATTCTGAGAGTAGTTTTTAATGTGTGTAATAAAAAACGCATGCACATTACACATTCACACATAATCGGAGAGAAATCGTTTCTTTTTGTGTAGCGTACGTTTTTGTTTAATTAAAAATTATGTTAAAGAAACATATTTACACCTGTCATGCAGTGTTCCAGCTGCAAATCAATATAATGTGTGTGCGCAGGATGGAGTTTACGAAATAAAATAAATAAATCTTAAACATTATGGCAAGTACGAAAATTCATTAATTAGTTTACTTAAATATAAACATCTGTAAGTCTCGATGATAGACGTGAAAACTGAAATTATTTACATTTAAATTAGTCACATTTAAAGCTAATCCAAAAACTCATTCGATTCGACAATGAAACAAAGCAACTTTTACATTTTGTACAGCGTATACGAATTTCTTATTACTCTTCACGTGTTTTCCAGCAATCGAATCTTAATTTATTAATGATTAATCAAAGAACCAACACTCAATTACATGCGTTAATCGCTTGCTGTGCCGAAGGACAAAGACCGAATGTATTTTTACATATTTGTTTAAATTTAATATATTTATACTGGAGATATTGTACAATTTTACGTATATGCTAATGTTTCCTTTTTGCTTGTAGGTAGGTATTACGTTTTTGAAGATTTTTATTAGTTTAGAAAGAAAATTTTCGTTTGTGTTGAAAAATGATGAATGTCTGAATTGTGTGAAGATTGTATCACTAAAAAAGTCTACGTATATATTACATTACAACATCGATTTATTTCATAGTCATCTAAGTTTCACTATTAGTACGTGTTTTGTCCTTCCGTTCATTAACCAAACCAATTTTTGATTTTTTCAAATGTAGCGTTGAGATAGAAACTGTTTACTGTATTTTCAGTGTCAATATTTCGATTTCGATTGTTCTCCGACCTCTGATTTATATTTCTTGTTAGGCTATTTTATTGAAAGAGAGTATAAGAATTTTAGTTATCAATATATCCATATCTCATTCATGGTGTACGTTTAGTTAATGTAATAAATTATCAATTTCATTATGTTCATCATTGTAATATTATCATTTAATTATTTATGTATATGTATAGTGTATGTATAATAATATAGATAGATAGTACCTTTATTCTCTTTGTTTTTATTACTTACTTTCTTTTCTTTTAAAATTTTTGTTTCATGGCGAGAAAAATGTGTAATGCTTGCATGCACTCTCTGTGTCTGAGTTATGTTTTGCAATGTAGGTATTTTTGTTTTGTCTCTTTCATTATGACTTGTTTATTCTTGTTACTACTAAAATATTAAGTTTAAGGTTTACTACCCTGACACCAAATTACGTATAATGTACTAAGAGTAAGATACTCGGCCGTTTTTGTTTGTTTGTATGTTTTGTTTGAGTTTCTGTGTGTTCGTCGGGTCGTCATAACCTCAAATCTGTGCTTTTTTTTAGTTTTTGTGACTAATTTCTCGTTTATTGCAGATAATATCAGTACGTTTCGTGTCTCCGGACGCGTCGCGCCTAGTCGTTTATAATTGGTTAATTAATTGGCACAAGGTACGGTTCTTTTTCTCTTCCAAACATACTTTGACGTAATTCTTGATTTATCTTTGTCTTCGATTTGTTTGTGTTGCGAGCAACGAATCATCCTTCCTCGATACATAGAAAAATATTTCTCCAAACAATGAATTTCTATTTGATTTACGTATTTATTTTCTTGCTTTTGTTTATTTTTGTCTAAATAATTTGCATTTGATTCTTCCGCTTTTTTTCGTTAAATGTCAGAAAGTTTCAAAAAGGGATGGACTTGTTGTTTTGTAATCGTAACATCTCATTTCACAATCGTCAACGCAATGAGAAACTAAATAAAAATCACAAATCCTTGCCTTATATCAAAGTCGAAAGCCTGCGTGTTGTTGTCTCTCTAGCTTTCAGTTCATCAACAACATGTTTCAACCAAGGAAAGAAAAGTATGATAAAGATAATAATATAATCGTAATCATCCACATAATATAATAATTAATAAAACTTAACATAATTCACTTTTAAGTAGTAAAACGAGTACACAATTCGAACACAATTTCTCAAAAAAAAATTATCAAAAAATATGTACACAATTCATATAATAATATTTCCATTGATCAAATTAACTGTTTCCTTTTCTCGCTGATGCGAACAGACGTTTTTAAACAAATATTTATAAAACAACATAATACAAACATAAATGTTCCGTCAATCGGTGAGCTGATCAACTGGACAACAACCGATCGTTTCCGTTTGATTGAAGTTCGCACTCGAAGCTTGTGTGTGTCGTGTTCCGGATCCTTCACGTTCAACGCGCACAACATTTAAACAATCATCTCACGCACGCACACAACTCTCACCGAAAGTCTCTGTCACTGAGTGGGCTTCAGAACACAACTCCAAAGAAATGTTAATAACCGATTTGATCGAACTTATATAACACATCGTCCAAAATGTCATCTACCATGTGTTTGAACAAAACACCGCACATTCATCAAAGTCTTCCTCCTCTGCTTACTCGTCCCGACTGTCCGTTAATACGCTTTAGCTAAATGTAACTTAAGTTTAACGCTTATGTACGTTTGTGGTTTGTGTGTGTCTTATGTAGGTACTTTCGAAACGGCCTTGAGCAGGTCCGCGCCGGACGACTTATCGAGACCCATCTTCATCGGGTCGTGGTGATGATGGAGCGAGTGCTGTGCGTCCAACTTCGCCTGCTGTTTCTCCTGCTGCTGCTGCTTGTGTCGTTCCTGCTCTTCGCGTTCACGTCGCGCCTGCTCGTTGATCTCCTTGACGGCGCGTAGTTCCTTTTTCAGCTTCATCCTCCGGTTCTGGAACCAGATCTTGATCTGACGCTCGGTGAGGCACAACGCGTGTGCGATCTCGATGCGTCGCCGTCGTGTCAGATAGTGATTGAAGTGGAACTCTTTCTCTAGCTCCAGCGTCTGAAAACGCGTGTAGGTCTGTCGGCCCCGTCGTCTTGGACAGCCATTCGGGCCTGTAACAGACGAGAAGATGCCCCCATCGGGAAGGGTTCCTACGTTAGAATTAAATTTCTCTTAAACACCAATCTCACTGAATGTATACTTAAAATTAAACTTAACTTAAACGTAAAGCATTGAAAACTGCGATTTTGACTCTACAAATTCATAGAAAACTTTCTCCCAGGCAATAAATAACCCAAAAGTAAAAAAGGGCTGCAATCTTTTATGGCCGTTTTGAGACTTATTGCTTCAAACTTTCTCTTTGAGACGTTTTTTTTTATATATTAACCCTAAATTTCTTTTTACTCGGTGATCAATAAAAACTTTCTTAAACACTCTTTAAAAAAAGAGGTATAAAGGGTTTTGGAAAGTGCAGAGAATAAAGAATGAACATTTGAAAGCTTTCAGCGTGGCCGGCAAGGTCCGCCACAAAAATTGGAAAGAAACTTATTGACCCTCTAAATCTTTCCACGGAAACCCCAAGCCAGCCAAGATGTGCTTGAGTATTTGCGCGCAGAAGTAAAACGTTAGTAGAAACATAAAATATAACCGTTACGAGTGTAAGCCCTGTTTATTTCCCGAATGGAAAAACGAGCAGAGTCGTAAAACATTCCGGGTCCTGCGGCATGCGACATGCGTCCGATTTGCACTACATTCCTGCCGGTCCAGAGAAAAAGTAAAGCACCCAAGCTGGACGCAAGGTCCTCCTCTACAGATCGGATCGATATGTCGATACCCCAAGACCCTAAACCCAGAGATTAAGTAAGTAATAAAAAGGCAGGCGTGTTTCTATAAACGTGCACGGCGTTTTTACTCAAAATTTAATTTTAATCAAAATAATCTTAATGAGCGTGAAAAAGTTTACACGTCATCAATGCGAGAGAATTGTGGATAAAAGTTAGCGTTTCATGTTGGAAGCCTTTAAAGCTGACATGTTTCATCATAAATCCATGGATGAAAGGGCTTTGCCAGACGACTAGGCTAAGCTAACAAACGATAATGGTAATAAGAAGAAATATCATAAACAATAAGAAATCGCGGCGCACGCTTTGCTCGCCGCCTGGTGTGAAGCAGCAATTCCTATAACACTGGAATACATGTACATGTCTGAGCATTGCGAGAATCTGGGAATGGTTGAGGCGGGCGCGCCCGGAGTCTCTTCAGTGCATCGCGCATGAAGCGCGCGACACGATGCCAACGCCAAACTAAACACAATGGCGTCAGATAGTAACGCGCTATCAGGTTATTAATGTCCTCATGCCTGTCGCTATGCGCATTACAGATAAGATACGCAGTCCAGACACGAAACCCTTTGTCGCTCGCCAGCGTGCTCACACACGAACGCGATTCTCCATCGCGCTGGACTTGGCACACTCAGAAACACTCACTTGCTTCCAAGATGGAGCAAGATAACCGATCGAGTTAGCGTCTGGCTGGCTGCGCTTACGAGTGGGATAAAGATGAAGATATTCCGCGCTTTATGTCGTGAGCTTCACAATGGAATTCAAGGTTTGAGTGTCTTCTTGCTCTGTGTGTGTGTGTGTTTGTCTTTGAATGTGTGTGATGCTGCTGCTCGAACATGGCCGTCGTGTTCGGGTTGGGCTCTGGCGGAGCGCGGGGTTGCTATGGTTACCAGGCCCTTGGGTTGCCGTTTGCCGCAGCGCTCGCCCCCATCGCCGCATGCATGCACGTCGCACACCCTAAAAACGTCATAAATCACCGACAGACTTTCCTGCGCCCGAACGCGTTCACCCTTCCAAAAACAAGGGTTCCGGCTGACGTCCTGACATTCTCCCCGACTGCCATTTCAAAAACGCGCCTAGTTTATGCACGATACCAAGGATGCTTAATTAAAAATTTCAAACGAATCAAAAATGCAAAACCTATTATTGAATAGTCTTTCAACCAAAATTGAATAGGGCCCGAATGAAGGAGATTAACAAACATCTGACGCATTCCCCAGAATCAAGAAGAGCTTCCCAAACAGAAAAAGAGCCCGTTTATGCAAATCACTTGAGAAGACAGACCTCATTCGAATGCACGACTGTTGAAAACAAAGAAGTCGGCGGCGTCTACTTTGCAGCCGGCGCGCGAAGCGTGACTTAAAAGCTCTAAAGTCAATATCAGCATTCCGTTGCAGTTCCTCAAGACGCATAAAACTTCGGGCAAAAAAAAAAGTTCAAAAACGAACGCTGACAGCTGTAAATCGACACCTCTCGCAACAAATCACTTTAAATCACATCAAACTAGTGTTTCTCGAAATACAAATGTTTTCATCGGTCGAATGACCGAAGGTTAAAATTAGTGCAGCATCAATAAATCACACAAAAGAAGTCATAACATTTCGACTTGAATTTCCATTCGAAAAAATAAAAGATTTTCTTTCTGTTTGTGGCGAGTGAAACCGTATGCACGTCGAGTTGCAGTTGCGTGCCGCCTGCACATTGAACGACGTGCGTTAATTCATAAACACTAAAAACGTACGAAACGACTTGAGCCAACGCGCCCAACGTCGCAATATGCAAGCGAACCTTATTTAAGCTCTAAACCGTGTGTGCGGATACGGCGAGAACCGCAGCGTTATTTATTTATTAATAAAATACAACGCGGAACGAACACATTTATCGCGATAACATAAGTTAAACATAAAAACATTTCATTGATTTTTTTTTATGGTAGATCTCATACTGATGCGAGAGAATTTTGCATGGTGTATTTTTACTTATTGGTTGTTTTGGTCACCCTAAATGCATTTTATGTGTCATTTCGTGTTGCATGCAAAGCGGCCTCTCGTTTTCCCTTCCCTTTCGCCTAATTACGATATTATTATTGTTTCATTATTACGACGTGTCGCAATCATAAATTTTTTATGCGCCGTCGTAAATTTCGACCGTACGCGCCAACGGTTAGTTGATTATCGCGTTCGGTTTGATAATAATTGAACCATAACCGTAAACTACATCTATTCGTGCGGCTGGTTAGGCTAAATGCACCAAATAAATGTCGCCTTTAAAATGGTTTCACACCTCAAGACACAGAGAAAAAAAAAACAATAAAACAGATAGTTTTCGGTAGAATCCGGTGTAATTTGGAAGATTACATGGTGCAAAGAGAGATTAGAGTAGTGTGGGTTATAGAAATAGAAGCTCAAGTGGTATTAGCAGAATTTGTAGTATAAAAGGAGTCAATATTCAATAAACAAGAAATATAGTACTCTGACTGAGTAGTAAATGTTAAGCATGCTTCTTGGTTTGTTTCAACTCGCATTTGCAGAGATGGACAAAAACGCTGAGCATGAAAGTCTCAGCAGTTGGCAAGTTGAAAACGCCGGCCGTCGTAAATTCACCTTTCAACGATGCATTGCAATTTCATGAAGCGATTGCACTGCGTCCGCCACGCAGATGTGCGTGCGCAATGCCGCTATTTCAATTTCTAACTCTTAAGTATTTCTATTAATGTAGCGCATGGAAAATCACAAACATAACTAACGTGAACACATGAAATCAATCCGTCTTGGAAAGAATCCGTATCGAATTTATTTATGTACCAGCTAATTGCCAATGTGAATGGAATGAGATTACTCATTAAGATACGCAAATTATAAATATTTGTCTGCAGCGAACACATAAATACAGATAAGATTGAGTAATTAAAAACACACGCAGTTATCGCTCAGTCTCAGCGTCTCAGTGTCAAGCTTCGTGTCAACTACACAATTGCATGTTTTCTTCATGTAGATACTGGGTGTTTTCTGCATGAGCCACTCGGGCAATTAGAAGGCGATGCACGATGAGCATTCGTGACACCCAAGAAGACGCCGGCGCTATCTGTTAAGGCGATGTCGTGTCATGCATCATGCACCTTTGTATAAATGGCTGTGGGAGCTACGTGCGCATGTTGCAAAACCGTCCAAGTAATGAAATATTGTGTACAGATAAGACAAGCAAACCCAGGAGGATCGTGCAGTAATTTATTGTGCTCACTATTCGCACACACTTTTCGAATGCAAATCTAATCACAACATTGTTGCAGCTAAATTTTTAGTTTTTCGGTGTTTTAAATGTAGAAAATGTTCAGTTGGAGCACGTATTAGATTTGAAATTAGTTGCACAGCTAATGTGTATGCGAGTCGTGTGCGAATGCAACTGCAAGTTGCAGTTGTGGGCCCCGCCACCGCGGTGGGTCTTGACGGGCGTTAATATGAGCGCCCGTGCTATTTAAAATGCAGAATGTGGCGGCAGCCATTCCAATTGTGCATCCCGAGTAGGATGTATTAAAATGGGTATGCGAAAACCGCCCCCCTAGGAGTTTCTGCGCAGTAGAGCCCATGATGGGCGAAAGTCATGTTTTCGCGTCCGCAGTCGCGATGCATGCATAATAACTATACCGCGCAGACGTGCCATTGCTTCATCTTTATTCCCCGCGTAGCCTGGCGCAGACCACCTTAGTAAACATGCTCGTTGAAGCTGGTCTGAGATGTGAGCACGGAGGAAAAACGGTTGAATCAGTTTAAAAGACGTGGAAATGTTGGAAACGCTGAAAACCTAAGGATATGTTCGGATAAGTTGGAATTGTCGGGCGTGGGGGCGGCGAAATGGGTTGAGCTGGTGCTGGTGTTGTGTGCTGCGCTGATAGCGGTGCGCGCGCTCGCCGTACGTATATAGCTGACGCGCTCGTTTTCATCGTTTCTCGTCGTCGTTGTGCGCCGTTTTCCTCGTCGGTATATTGCCGGATGAAATGTTCGTAATGTTTGGCTATACCACCACACTATCAACTATCGACGCTGCAGCCTTGCACACAGCACAGCACACGGTGTGCATCTAACTGCCTTTCGTGCGCGTTTCGCCCGTGTGCATCGAAATGCGCATCGCGTCGTTCGTTGCCATCGTCATGGCGTAATGTCGGCGTTATCTTCATTCGCGCCGCTCATCCCCAGTTATCCACCCTTCTCGTATACATCCGATGATATCCAATACGTTAGCTTTACTGCACGATCCACCCAATGCCATCGTCAAAAATTCCTCATACTTTTTCCAAAAATAAAACTTTTATT